ACACTGTGAGACCATGGGTGTGAGGTTAAACCACGCTACCAGCGCTTGGTCACATCAGCCCTGAGGTCAGATCCATCTACTCTGTTGATGACAAGACTTGTTTACTGGCTGGAGCCGAGCAGGAGGACCCAGCGCACAACCCCTGGTCAACTCAGGGTCCGCTCCCCGTACTCTATGGAGGAGATCTCGTGCTCCGCGGGCGCGCCGCGAGTTCAGCGCGGCCTGAACCACATGAATTATCTCACCCACCTGTACAGAAATGTATTTACATTTGTGTAACCCACTCCCAAGAGATTAAGCTCAAGCAAGGTCTCGAGCAAGGTCTGGGTTCGCAGTCTGGGTCAACCGCCGGCGTCTTTTCGTGCTTGAGCCAAGCGGCGAGATTCACCAGCCAGGAGGTGCGCCTGAGCGTAGCAGCGTGCATTCAGGGTACATGCAGCTATGGAGAAGAGCTGCTCTATGATAGCTCGTCCTCGACTCCACAACACCCGGACAGGTCCCACCACGACTCCACGTTCTGAGCCTGCGTTGACCGCCGCGACCGTGTGGCTTTGTTTGTTTGTTTGTTTGGGGTCACGAGCGCGCGAGCGATCACTCTCCACCTGGAGGGTACGGAGAGAGGCTACTGTACACTCAGGCACAATACGGAGAGAATCTCACTGGCCGGCAGGTGCGGCGCAGGCCCATTTTACGCAGGGCGGCGTCCTCGCCTCCACCTACCCCGAGTGGGTCGCAGCAGGGGGCATTGGACCGAGCTCTCCCGGCTCCTGCCTCTTCGCCGACGCCACCCCCTCCCACCTCGGCTCGTGTTTTAGCGGTACGCTCGAGGCGGTTGTGTTCACCGCGCCTTCGAGCCCAATACACCTTCGTCGTGTCGAGCGCTGGCGTTTTACTAAAGACTTGTGACCATGTGAGTCTATCTTGTACTACCACACTAAAAGCCGTGTAGTGAGCCACTCACTCGGGCGTCTCGGCTGACGTTGATCGATCAGCGTTGACCTCTCTAGCCTATCGGTCCCCCGCTCGATCCTCGGATCGCTCGCTCGTCGAAATCGATCGACTGAGCTTACGGACTTTTCTTTTTCGAAACGCGCGCGCGGCCCGTCGCGCGGCAAAACTGTCAGGTCCGCCGCCACGCGTCGCCGCAATGGCGGGCAGCGACGTGGTGGAAGCCATTCGGCTCGCCCTCAAGCCATTTAATATCCAAATAAAACTCTTTAATATCCAGCACCTCGCCGACGACTGGAACGCTAACCGTACTTAGAGGGGGGGCCCCAGGTGCGTGGGGGTGGTGGTGCTTGAAGATGACGCGCATATGACTCCATCCTGCACCTCGCTGGAAACCAATTTTTTTACAACAAAACTCCCTCGCACAACACTGGGCACGGGACTGGCGCGCACTTGACGCGGGAAGACCACCGGGCCTCAACGGTATGGGCGGCACGTTCCCGGTGCTGCCGCCGCACGCGCAGCCGTTTTGATCGCTTTCGCCGGGCTCGTTGCGCCACCACCGCCGGTTCGGCGATCTTTAGGGACCCGCGCGCATTGCGCGCATCCGCACATCTCTGGACGAGGTCCGGGCCACGCGGTACCGTCGAGCAGCGTCAGCACCGTCAGGATCGAAGAGGCGGGAGTGTTCTCGCAGCAGACGCTCCTCATCTACTTGAACGAGAGGGCCTCACCGACGCTGGGGGCGTGGTGGCGGCGACGATGCGGGCAATGGACGCTAGGCTGCCGATCGTGCTGGTGCACGCGGCAGGATAAGGAGCGGGGCGCTTGCGTCCTTGCGCGCTGTTTCATCTGGTGGCGGTGCCTCTCTACGGCTTTACCCCGGCGCGGACCATTGCACGATCAGGTGCGTGCAACTCTCGTCTCATGCCGTTAAGAGACGTGATGTGATGAGTGCACATTGGACTTCAGTGTGGCACTGGCACGTGGCACAGAAGCCTCACCAACAACTCTCTGAAAAGCAAAATAAGTCTGACTCTGAGAACGTGAAATGAAACCGGTGTAAGTAAGGTGAATAAGAGTGCGCTGTGTTCTTGAGTGTTCGCCCAGCTTGATTTTGTCTTTGAGGCCGATGTAAAACCACTCTGGAGGCCCTTCCCGCTCACCCGCTCGGTGCGCCGAGCTCCGCGGTGGGCACCACGCGCCGGCTGCCGTCGACGCGCGCCAGCAGCGTGGGCTTGCCGCCGACGCCGCCCGCCTGCGCGGCGGTGTAGAGCGCGGGGAGGTAGGCGCGGTACGCGGGCAGGTAGCGCGAGACGAAGTCGGCGACGGCGGCGTCGTCCATGCCTGACGCGGGCAGTCTCTGGTAACCTCGATCAATCTCGGGCAAACTCTCGGGCAAACCCTCGGGCGTGCCTGGCCGGCCGGCGGCGGCCATCGCCTGCTCCGCCTGCGTGCGCCACGCGCATACGTGCGACAAGTCGTCGATGCCGATGACCGCCCACGCGTCCATCTTGTCGTGCCACTCTGCGTACCCGCGGAGGAAGGAGTCGACCAGCGCCAGGTCGGGGTCGAGGCCCGCGAGCCGCGCGGCGTCGCCGGCAGGAGCAAACCCCGCCATCCACCCCTCAAAGAGGAGTACGTCCACCGGATCGCGCTGCACGTGCCACGCCTTAAGGGAAGGGAAGGGCAGGTTGACTTCTCCACGCACACACGAGGTGGTGGGGGCGAGGGCCAGGCTAGTCCCTCGCGACTCCACGTCTGGACGACAAGAGCCCCCAACGGCATTCAAGGTGCAAGGCCCGGTGCGCGTGGGTGAGCGGTGTGTGTGTGTGTGTGTGTGTGTGTGTGTGTGTGTGTGTGTGTGCGTGTGTGTGTGTGTGTGTGCGTGTGTGTGTGTGTGTGTGTGTGTGTGTGTGTGTGTGTGTGTGTGTGTGTGCGTGTGTGTGTGTGTGTGTGTGTGTGTGTGTGTGTGTGTGTGTGTGTGTGCCGCGCCTCCTCAGGCGCGCGGTCGCCACGGCCGCCGAAGGCCGCCTTGTCGTATCGCGGCACGGCGACCTCTGCCTACGTAAGTAAGGTAAGGTAAGGTAAACTTCTCCACACACACGAGGTGGTGGGGCAAGGGGGGGGCGACCCTCGCGTCTCCACGTCTAGACGGCAGGAGCCCCACGGCATCCAAAGTGCAAGGCCCGGTGCGCGTGGGTGAGCGGTGTGAATACGCCGACACGAGGGCGTGAATACAGCGTGTTCACCGCGGGAAGACAAAGGCTAGGAAGACAGTGAGTACAGCGGAATACGGCGGAGTGCGGCCGAGTGCGTGTCCTCTCGAGCGCTGGCTGGGAGACATGAACACGTAGTCCGCTTCTAGGGCCCGAGATATGGGGAGATAGGGGGAGATAGGGGGAGATACTCCGCTTCTAGGGCCAGCTCTGCCTCGCGATCAAGCAGCGCGCGCAGCGTCGCAGTGCCGAGGGCCACATCGTGTGAGCCTGGAGAGGCCGCGGTGAGATAGGGAGAAGGAGAGAGTGTGTGTGGCGGGAGGGCGGCGGAGTGAGTGAGAGAGAGGAGAGAGGAGAGAGGCGCGTGCCGGCGTTGCCGCGCAGTTCCAGGAGCCGGTTGGTAGGGTGCGCCGCTGCGAGCTCGCGCTGCGCCTCGTGCGTCAGGTAAAAGTCGTCGAACGACGCGGCCGCGCAAACCAGGCCGTCGGCGGCAAAGCGGCCGACGAGCGTGTCTACCAGCGTCGTCTTGCCGCAGCCCTGAGGCGCCGAGATGCCGATGCCGACCGCGCGGCCAGTGGGCGCCTGGCGCGCGCGGCCGAGGCACCAAAAGTAGAGCGGGAGGTAGAGGTGGAAGATGCGCGCCGCCGCCGCCGTGCCGAGCTCCTCAGGCGCCGCCGCCGTCGCCGCCGCGCCGCCGCAGAGCTCCGAGGCCAACTCCCCGCCGTGGCGCGCCCACTCCTCGGCCGGCGGCACAGCAGGCTGCAGCCGCGAGAACAGCGGGCCGCGCTGCGCGTAGGACAGGCAGGCGCTCGCCCGCATATGTGTATTTGTGACCCGTGTGCGGGGTAACCCGCGCACCGGGGAAGCTTCACGGGTTCGAGTCGCCAAACATTGAGCAGCGGAGGTGTGCCGAGGGGGACCGGGAGGCGGTAAGCCGTCGTCGCCCGGCGCTGCATGCAGCACCGTGGCGATGGCGCTAAGAGGTTCCTCTTTTTCGCGCCCCCCCCGCAAGGCGCGCGATACACAAAGGCCCAGAGAGAACACAAAAAGCATCAGTGTGTGTGTGTGGTCGTATCAAGAATACTCACTCACTCACAAAAAGCATCATAGGCAAAGGATCTCTGGGCGGGGGTACAACGAAGGGGGAACAACCCACACCACACAAGACGCCAAAGCACAAAAGAATAACAAGAGAGAGATTTTTAGCAATACCAAACAACTCTAACTTTGTGTTAACAAGACAGTGTACTCAGGCAGTCTCATGCGGAAGAGTCAGATATACAAAGGGCACCTAAAGGAGCAAGGCATACAGCTGTGAAGTGGTCTCTCCACCGACAGGTATCTAGCCTTAGTGTGTGTGTGTAGTTCAGCCGACCACGAGGAAGGGCCGACTTCAAGGGTTAGTATAGCGGGCCGAGAAGGCCGCCCACACCCGCGAGGATGGTTGTGTGTTTGCCTCCCTGACTCGGACGGCCGCCTCAGAGGGCGGGCATGCGTCCTCTCGCCCTCTCACCCGCGGGAGATGGCCGAGTCCACGGAGCCGCACGCCAGCCGCACGCTGCCTCTCCTTGGACCACGCAAGGCTCCGACTTCTATAGAGAAAATCCCATCTGCACCAGCGTTTTAGTGCAATTGTCAAGACACATACATACGATTTTCGTCACATGGCCTCATGCCCCGTACGGCTTTACGATCCACCGACGCGATACCCCGATAGCGTTAGCGATAGAGCCGTACGGCTGTCGCCTTTAAAATTTGAACAAGCCGAATGGTCGAGGGCCCCTCGATATACTGTACAACACACCCACCGCCGCGCCCAGCGCAGCTGGCAGCTCACCGCATCCTTGTTGTCAGGGAAAGGTCGGCGGGGAGTGCGGCGGGGAGGGCGTCGGGGAGTGTGGCGTCGCTCCCTCGAGCGGCCACGCCGGCTTCGCCTCGCGCGAGTCGCCCGCCGCCACGCCAAAGAGGGACCAGACAAACAGGCTGCCGCCCTTGCGGCTCCCCACGTACAGCTCGCTCCGCGCCTCGGAGAAGGAAAGGGCGGTCACGTCGGCCAGCTCCGGGAGGGGCGCGCCTGGTACCACACCTCCGGAGTGCCGAGTCCAGTGAGGGTTCAGCTCCGTGGGTGGTGTGGTGGAGCGCCGGCAGCCAGCTTGGCGACACACTCGCCCGTTCGGAGGCTCGACACGTTGATCGTCCCTCCGGCGCGGCGGTCGGTGTTTGGCCTATCCCCGAGGTGACCCGAGATGACCCGAGATGACCCGAGATGACCCGAGATGGCCCGAGGTGACCCGAGGTGACCCGAGGTGACCCGAGGTGACCCGAGGTGACCCGAGATGACCCGAGATGACCCGAGATGACCCGAGGTGACCCGAGGTGACCCGAGGTGACCCGAGATGGCCCGAGATGGCCCGAGGTGACCCGAGATGGCCCGAGGTGACCCGAGGTGACCCGAGGTGACCCGAGGTGACCCGAGATGGCCCGAGGTGACCCGAGGTGACCCGAGGTGACCCGAGGTGACCCGAGGTGACCCGAGATGACCCGAGATGACCCGAGATCACCCTCCGGCGCGGTGGTCGGTGTTTGGCCTCGCGCAGTACGCGAGCAAAGTCTGGGAGGTGTCTAGGAGGTGTCTAGGTCTAGGAAGGAGCCTCGCGCAATACGACAACACAAAGTCCTGCGCCGTGGTGACGTAGAGGTTGGACATCGCGCTCTCGCCGTCGCACCACAGCGTGTGATCCTCCATGCCGAGCAGCCGGTCGCCTGGCGAGATCACCCGAGATCACCCGAGATCGCCCGAGATTTGCCCACACCATCCCGAGCAGCCGGTCGCCCTGCAAGCTGAAGACGGCGAGCGCCCGCCCGCTCACTGCGAGGAACAAGTTCCTCTCGTAGAGGTGCAGCGTCGATGACGGCGCCTGCAGCTGCCCCGCCGCCACCTAAAAGGCCGCGCGCGTGCGTGCGCGCGTCCTCGGCGAATCTCGGCGAGTCTCGGGAGATCTCAATCTCGCGCCTGGAAGGTTGCGCGCGTGCGCACGTCGGTGATGCGGATCGGTCCTGTTCACAGCAACAAGTGAGAAGAGACGCTGTTCACAGCTGGACGGCGCGGCACGGGTCGGCCCACCTCCCTCTTGCTGCACGAGCAGCCGGTCGTCGAAGAGCTCGATCCTACGGGACATGTCTCGGAAGGGTCGTGGACGCGTCGTGCACGGGTCGCGGACGGTCGCCGAAAAGCTCGATCCGGGACACGCGCGCGGCGCTGAGGGGATGCTCGAGGTCGTGCAGCGAGGTGCCTGTGACGGGTTCGAAAGGCTGAGAGTCCGGGGTGATTGATGACACATACAGCGTCGTCTTGCCGCAGCCCTGAGGCGCCGAGATGCCGATGCCGACCGCGCGGCCAGTGGGCGCCTGGCGCGCGCGGCCGAGGCACCAAAAGTAGAGCGGGAGGTAGAGGTGGAAGATGCGCGCCGCCGCCGCCGTGCCGAGCTCCTCAGGCGCCGCCGCCGTCGCCGCCTCGTCGTCTTGACTAGAGTGCGCAGCCGCTGCTGCGTCCCGCCGGCCGCCTCGCGCGACCCGCCGGCGCGCCCTGCGAGCAGCAGCGGCCGCGCGCCGAGATCTTGCCGGACGAGGCGAGAGGTAGACGGGTGCGGGTTGCACGTAACGAGGATCTGGAGCGGATCCAGCCTGGGTCGCGCCGCGCCGCAGCCGAACGACGGCGGAGCTGAAGCGGCGCGTGGAGAGTCACGGCGGCGAGCAGACTGCCCGACGAGCGGTCGGGCGCCGCACGGCCCGGGGGGTATGCACGGAGGATATGCTGGCACGTGGCCGCGGCATAGCGGCGAGAGGGGCGAGAGAGACAGCAGGCCGTGGATGCCGTGGATGCAGCGCTGCAGCCAGTGGGTAACAAAAGAATTTCGCAAGTAGATTCGGCTCGCTGGGTGCGCTTCTTAGCTCCCCGGCCCCGCATGTGAGGTTAATGAGAACCGTCTCTTCACACCTCGAAGCCATTAAGTCTTTTTTTCGCTGTCGAACCGTTCTAGCGGCGCTGCGCGCCGTGTGGAGAGCGCGGCGCGAGCAGAGGAGCACGTGCTGCGCACGCACCGTCAAGGCCGCCTCGTGAGCGGCGAGCCAAGCCCTGTTCATAGCATGAAGTGTGAACGGCGCCTCTTCACACCTCGAGCCGTGACCGCCGTCTAGCGCCTTCTCGCCGCCCCAAAGGCGCTCCGCGCCTCGCAAACAGCGCCGAGCGTGTAGCACGGCACACGCGCAGCACACCCACTGAGCGGCATCTGACAAAACGTCGCCTCGAGCCCTATCCGAGTCGAAAAGTGTGAGAACCGTCATTTCACACCTCGAAACCGCTAAGTCATTTTTTCGCCGTCAAGCCGCTCTAGCGGCGCTGCGCGCCGCAAAGAGAGCGCGGCGCGTGCAGAGGAGCACACACTGCACACGCACGGTGAAGGCCGTCTCACGAGTCGGCGAGCCGAGCCCTATTCATAGCAAAGAGTGTGAACGGCGCCTCTTCACACCTCGAGCCGTGACGCTCTGGCGGCGCTGCGCGCCGCAAAGAGAGCGCGGCGCGTGCAGAGGAGCGCGTGCTGCATACGCACCGCGAAGGCCGTCTCGCGAGTCGGCGAGCCGAGCCTGTTCACGGCATAAAGTGTGAACGGCGTCTCTTCACACCTTTAGCCGTGAACGCCGTCCGGCGCCTTCTCGCCGCCCCAACGGCGCTCCGCGCCTCGCTAACAGCGCCAAGCGTGCAGCGCAGCACACGCGCAGCACGCCCCTCGCACGGCGGCTGATGAATCGGCGCCTCGAGCCCTACCCGAGCCGAAAAGTGTGAGAACCGTCTTTTCACACCTCAAAGCCGCTAAGTCTTTTTTTCGCCGTCAAGCCGCTCTAGCGGCGCTGCGCGCCGTGTGGAGAGCGCGGCGCGTACAGAGGAGCGCGTGCTGCACACGCACCGCCAAGGCCGCCTCGTGAGTCGGCGAGCCGAGCCCTATTCATAGCAGAAAGTGTGAACGGCGTCTCTTCACACCTCGACGCCGTGAACGCCGTCCGGCAACTTCTCACCGCCCCAAGGGCGCTCCGCGCCGTGCAAACGGCGCCGAGCGCGTAGCGCAGCACACGCGCGACACGCCCCTTGCACGGCGTCTGATAAAACGGCGCCTGGAGCCCTATCCGAGCCGAAAAGTGTGAGAACCGTCTTTTCACACCTCAAAGCCGCTAAGTCTTTTTTTCGCCGTCAAGCCGCTCTAGCGGCGCTGCGCGCCGCGTGGAGAGCGCGGCGCGTGCGGAGGAGCACGCGCTGCGCACGCACCGCGAAGGCCGTCTCTTGAGTCGGCGAGCCGAGCCCTATTCATAGCAGAAAGTGTGAACGGCGTCTCTTCACACCTCGAGCCGTGAACACCGTCCGGCGCCTTCTCGCCGCCCCAAGGGCGCTCCGCGCCGTGCTCGCAGCGCCGAACGTGTAGCGCAGCACACGCGCGACACGCCACTCGCACGGCGTCTGATAAAACGGCGCCTCGAGCCCTATCCGGGTCGAAAAGTGTGAGAACCGTCTCTTCACACCTCCAAACCGCTAAGTCTTTTTTCGCCGCCGAACCGCTCTAGCGGCGCTGCGCGCCACGTGGAGAGCGCGGCGCGTGCAGAGGAGCACACGCTGCACACGCACCGCGGAGGCCGTCTCTTGAGTCGGCGAGCCGAGCCCTATTCATAGCAACAAGTGTGAACGGCATCGCTTCACACCTCGAGCCGTGAGCGCCGTCCGGCGCCCTCTCACCGCCCCAAGGGCGCTCCGCGCCGTGCTAACGGCGCCGAGCGTGTAGCGCAGCACACGCGCAGCACGGCCCGTGAACGGGGTCTGACAAATCGGCGCCTCGAGCCCTATCCGAGTCGAAAAGTGTGAATTTTGTCTCCTCACACCTCGAAGCCGCTAAGTCTTTTTTTCGCCGTCAAGCCGCTCTAGCGGCGCTGCGCGCCGCAAAGAGAGCGCGGCGCGTGCAGAGGAGCACGTGCTGCACACGCACCGCGATGGCCGTCTCGTGAGTCGGCGATCTGAGCCCTATTCGTGGCACAAAGTGCGAACGGCGTCTCTTCACACCTCGAGTCGTGAATGCCGTCCGGCGCCTTCTCGCCGCCCCAAAGGCGCTCCTCGCCGGGCTAGCAGCGCCGAGCGTGTAGCGCAGCACACGCGACACACGGCCTTTGAATGGCGTCTGACAAATGTTTTTCTTCTTCTCAGCGCATCCATCTCAGCGCGTCGATTCTTCGTTTTCCGGGTTCCAATTCTTTTCCTGCCTCGCCTGTCGCGTGAATCGTTTCGTGCGACCGCCTTTTGTCGAAAATTCTTTACCGGCTGGCTGCAAAATTCTTTTTCGGTCGCGGACGGCACAGCTCGCTCGCTTGCCATTTGCTCACGCTCGCGCAGGCGCGTCGCAGCGTGCACCCACGCAACGCCTCCGCTCCGTCCACACCACCCACTGCGTAGCCATGGCATTTCCGTGTGCATGCGACGGACTCGCTCTCCTGCACTTGCCGCCGCCCTCGCCACCGCCGGTTCCGAAACTGCTCTGCGGCCGCCATCGCACTCACTGCCTCGCTCTGCAGGACTCGACACCAGCGCCACCTGACCCGCACCCGCTCGCTCTCGCTCACGCTTCGTGCTGTCGCTGCTAGGGTCTTCGCTCATCGACTCGGAGCGCCGGCCGCCTCTCTCGTGCTCTTTTCGCTGTCACGTCACCTCGACACCGCGCGGTCGCGACTCTCGATGTTGCGTCGGCTCTCTCGGTCACAGCGTCACCACCCGCTGCGCCGAGCAGCAAAGGCGAGGCGCAGCCTCGCATCGGCGGTGGCCGACCGCCGTGCCGACGGAAAAAATGCCTTCGATCCCGCCGCAACCCTCCATCTCACCGCCGCCGTCTTCGCCACGAGACCGCCTCCGGCGAGCTCGGCCGGCTCTCCTCGCCCACGCGGCGCTCTCGAGCGCCCCAAGCATAAAGATTGCCGGGTGTCGTTAGGGTTAGCCAGGGTAGTGTTGCGGTTAGGGTTAGAGGTGGCACACCGTCATGACGTTAGGGTTAGGATCACGTCGAGAGCTAGGGTTAAGTTAGGGTTACACGCTCCCCCGTCACGGCTCGAAGAAGGGCTCAAAAGTCGATAAAACGGTCAACCTCGCGAAAAAATCGCGCGCTGCGCGCGCAGGAAGAGAGAGAGAGGGAGAGAGATTCATTGCTGGGCCGCGCAACCACACCCCCGGCGGAGCCCGGGAGAAAGTCGTGGAGCGCAGCGACACGACTTTCCCGGGGCGACGCCGGCGCGCGCGAAAAACGGCCATTTCGCCAAAACGGTGGAGGCCGCCCCGCGCTCCCGCCCCATCAAACACGCACCGCCTGAAGCCCTCGGGAAGGCCCTCAAAACGTCGACGCGGGAGGGCGAAAATCGCCCCGCTTCAGAGCCCGCGCGAGGACGGACCCCACGCCGCCCCACGAGCGACCCGCGCAACCCGCGACCAACAGCCGTGCGGAGAATCGGCAGGAGACGTCCGCAGCCCCAAGGATCGCCCTCGTCCGATACAACCACCGACCACCATAACCATCCCCGCGCGCGCTGCAAATCTCCAGGCCCTCTGCTCAACTTTGGACGACCGACTTTAATTCGGGTGCTAAAGCAGCTCGCACGGGCCCACCTCGCCGCCCCCGCCCCCGCCCGCCCCCGCGCGGCAGGCCCGGCGCCGCTGGCTTCCCCCGCGCACCTCACGGGGCGCCATGACACCGCCTGCCAGGCGGCCTGCAGCAGTGCGGGCGGACAGCAGCTGCTACAAGACACACATACATACGATTCGTCACATGGCCTCATGCCCCGTACGGCTTTACGATCCACCGACGCGATACCCCGATAGCGATCCACGGCTGTCGCCTTTAAAATTTGAACAAGCCGAATGCTCGAGGGCCCCTCGATATACTGTACAACACACCCACCGCCGCGCCCAGCGCAGCTGGCAGCTCACCGCATCCTTGTTGTCAGGGAAAGGTCGGCGGGGAGTGCGGCGGGGAGGGCGTCGGGGAGTGTGGCGTCGCTCCCTCGTCGAGCGGCCACGCCGGCTTCGCCTCGCGCGAGTCGCCCGCCGCCACGCCAAAGAGGGACCAGACAAACAGGCTGCCCTTGCGGCTCCCCACGTACAGCTCGCTCCGCGCCTCGGAGAAGGAAAGGGCGGTCACGTCGGCCAGCTCCGGGAGGGGCGCGCCTGGTACCACACCTCCGGAGTGCCGAGTCCAGTGAGGGTTCAGCTCCGTGGGTGGTGTGGTGGAGCGCCGGCAGCCAGCTTGGCGACACACTCGCCCGTTCGGAGGCTCGACACGTTGATCGTCCCTCCGGCGCGGCGGTCGGTGTTTGGCCTATCCCCGAGATGACCCGAGATGACCCGAGATGACCCGAGATGGCCCGAGGTGACCCGAGGTGACCCGAGGTGACCCGAGGTGACCCGAGATGACCCGAGATGACCCGAGATGACCCGAGATGGCCCGAGGTGACCCGAGATGACCCGAGGTGACCCGAGATGGCCCGAGGTGACCCGAGATGACCCGAGATGACCCGAGATGGCCCGAGGTGACCCGAGGTGACCCGAGATGGCCCGAGGTGACCCGAGGTGACCCGAGGTGACCCGAGGTGACCCGAGGTGACCCGAGGTGACCCGAGGTGACCCGAGGTGACCCGAGATGACCCGAGGTGACCCGAGGTGACCCGAGGTGACCCGAGGTGACCCGAGGTGACCCGAGGTGACCCGAGATCACCCTCCGAATCGGTGGTCGGTGTTTGGCCTCGCGCAGTACGCGAGCAAAGTCTGGGAGGTGTCTAGGAGGTGTCTAGGTCTAGGAAGGAGCCTCGCGCAATACGACAACACAAAGTCCTGCGCCGTGGTGACGTAGAGGTTGGACATCGCGCTCTCGCCGTCGCACCACAGCGTGTGATCCTCCATGCCGAGCAGCCGGTCGCCTGGCGAGATCACCCGAGATCACCCGAGATCGCCCGAGATTTGCCCACACCATCCCGAGCAGCCGGTCGCCTGGCGAGATCACCCGAGATCACCCGAGATCGCCCGAGATTTGCCCACACCATCCCGAGCAGCCGGTCGCCCTGCAAGCTGAAGACGGCGAGCGCCCGCCCGCTCACCGCGAGGAACAAGTTCCTCTCGTAGAGGTGCAGCGTCGATGACGGCGCCTGCAGCTGCCCCGCCGCCACCTAAAAGGCCGCGCGCGTGCGTGCGCGCGTCCTCGGCGAATCTCGGCGAGTCTCGGGAGATCTCAATCTCGCGCCTGGAAGGTTGCGCGCGTGCGCACGTCGGTGATGCGGATCGGTCCTGTTCACAGCAACAAGTGAGAAGAGACGCTGTTCACAGCTGGACGGCGCGGCACGGGTCGGGCCACCTCCCTCTTGCTGCACGAGCAGCCGGTCGTCGAAGAGCTCGATCCTACGGGACATGTCTCGGAAGGGTCGTGGACGCGTCGTGCACGGGTCGCGGACGGTCGCCGAAAAGCTCGATCCGGGACACGCGCGCGGCGCTGAGGGGATGCTCGAGGTCGTGCAGCGAGGTGCCTGTGACGGGTTCGAAAGGCTGAGAGTCCGGGGTGATTGATGACGGGCGATTCCGAGCCGAGCAGCGAGGTGCCGTCTGCAATGCTCAGGACTTGCACGCGCATCGCGTCCGCCTTTCGGCGGTGCACGACGAGGAGCGCGTTGCGCGCTGCCGCCTTGACCTCCGCGATCTCCGGGTCGCGCAGCCGGAATAGCAGCGAGAAGTTGGCCAGCTCCCAGATGCCGTACGTGCGGTCGGCGGCCGAGAAGGTGACTGCGCGGCAAGAGACCTCGTCGAACTCGACGAAACCGGGCCAGCGCAGCTCCTCCTGCTGGAAGATGGGCAGGCCCGCCTCCGGCTCGCCACGCCGCACCCACTCGACCAACGTCGATCGGCAGTGCAGCGAGGAGAAGTGGTCCGCGCGGTAGGTGGAGACGGTGACAAAGGAAGCGGAGCGCCGGTTGAAGAGGACGGACCGGACCATCTCGTCGGGCGTGACGTTGAGGAAAGCGACCCGCCTCCCGTCCTTGAAGGCGCACGCCACGCCCGATAGCGTCAGCGCCACCACGACGTCGTCGCTGCACACGATCTCGATCACCTTGGAGCGCCGCCGGAGTTGCGGAAGCCGGAAGAGGCGGAGCGCTTCGGGGTCGTGCATGTCGAACTCGCTCTCGACGCCAAAACAGGCCAGTGAGCCCCACGCCGCGGCGCCCGATGGCCCGGCCCGTGCTGGAGCAATCTCACGAGCGGCGAGTGCCTGCAAGATGGCGCCGCGCGAGCTGCCGCCCGGAGAGTGCCGCCGCCAGGCTTCGACGACAGATCGCTCGCGCTTTCGCGAGTGCATGAGGGCTCAGCGAGCGCACGACGCTGCCGATTTGCAGCTCGTGCACCGTCGCCCCGGCGCGAGAGAGGGCGAACGTGGCGGCCGGTCTGGAGAGCGGCTACCTGCCGTGGCCGACAGGAAATGTCCGTCTAGCAGTGACTTCTAGAATTCTTATTAGGATACAAGCCTCTCTCACAGCACACTGGCACGACAAGGGCGCAGACTGGCGCGGACTGGCACACACACAGGCTCACCACCGGAGCCGCCTAAGCGACTCCGTTAAGAACGGCAATGCACTCCGCACCATGCACAATGCCGCTCTCCCCGTGGACGAGAGGACCACCGCAATCCTCGGCACACCGCGGCCGACGCTGTTTGCGCTCCCACGCAAGCCCGTGCGCGCCGGTATCCAAGTCGACTGCACGCGTAGCTGCGCGACGCCGCCGACCGGAGCCTCTCAATAGACCAATGCGCACTTTCCGGCATCGACTACATGGACCGTCTGCGCGAGCTCGATGCGCCGTGCGTCGATTGAAGCGGACCGCCCTCGGCGGACGGCGCCTGTGCTTGTGTTAGTTGTGCTGTAGATAGGCGTACTGATCAGTGATGGAGTTTAGGAGCACCTCTATCTTGTGCGGTCTGCCACGCGCGGAGCCCTAAGCACTTCCAAGAACCGACCCTCGCTGCGGCACGCCCGTGACCGCGCAGCCACACGTGACACGAGGCTCCAGTCCATTGCTCTAGATCGACGGGGAGGAATGCCACTCGCCGTCAGAATCGTAGTGCGAGGTGTAGCGCTCCGGGCGCGGCCCTGTACGCTTGCCGCTCTTGTGCATCCCGGGCGTGCGTTGTGCGGCGGGGCGTTTGCGAGGGGACCTGCGTGGACCCGACGGTGTTGCTGGCGTGCCCGCGCCTGCGATGGCAGACGGGCTAGTACAAAAAAAACGCGAAGTGTTGGCGTGCGTTCCTGTGTAGAACGTGTGCGAAGTATGAAACGATGGCGCGCCGCCGATCGACGACGCCGCGGCGCGACTCGAGGAAGTGGAGTGTGTGTCATGCGCGGGTTGGCGACGGGGCGCACGCCCACCTGGCGAGGCCTGATGAGGCTTGTCCGTCGACTTGCCCGACCGCGTCGTCACCATCTTTGCATGCACGCAGTGGACCAGTCACAACTTGCGGCCTGCATCAACTTCTGCGATTGGTCGCCGGCGTTGACAGATGTCAAAGAGGAAGAGGCCGGCCAAGGCCCCAGCGCAGGCAGAGGAAGGGATGGCGGCTCAACCGGCGGCCGCGCCCTTCGGGCTGCCGCAGCCGATGATGATGCCTCATCTGGCCGGCGGCGCCGCCGGCCCGAGCGGCGCCAATGCGGCGATGGATCACTTTGCTGCGATGGTGCAGCCCGGCTACCAGCCACCAGCACGCGCTCCGGCTGCGGCACCGGCTGCGGCTGCGGCGCCGGCTGGCGCTCCTGCTGGCGCCAGGAGGCGCCCCTCGGGCGCAGCAGCACCGGCTGCTGCGCCCGGCGGCGGCCGCAATGCGGCGGCTGATGACGGCGACGGCGAGTCAGACCCCGAGTACGAGCTGGAGGAGGAGCACGACGACGGCGACGTTCCTCACGAGGACACAGTCGGGTGGGAGCGCGACGACAAGTACGCGATCTCGCAGCGCGTAAAGAGCCTTGGGCAAGAAGCAGAGTCATCCCCACGTCTCACGTTTGGCTACGAGGGCAAGGGCATCTTCGAGTTTGCCAAGGAGATGCTGCCGATGGAGTTCATCGATGCGCTGGCGGCCGAGATGGACGCAATCGGGAAGGCCAAGCATGTCGATGGCATCTCCGGCTACAAGAACTGGGCGGTGACTCGCGACGACGTCCTGCAGTGGATCGGCGTCTGGCTGTACCGCGCCCGCACCTCTGCGGGGCTTGCACGCGGCCCACCCCCTTCCACCCCCCCTCGCCCTTCGCAGCCTCTCCCCCCTTCCCCTGTATGTATGTATGTAGAAAGATGAACAACAGTCGGGCTCGGTTCCCCTAAGAGCTACCGTACATGTAAGCTAAAAGTACGTACATGCACTGAAAAACCTGTGTCTTCACAGCGAGCAGTCGACCCACAATGCCGCACCCGCCTGGTTTGCAGCCGGGTTTGCAGCCGCGATTCATGTTCTGCACCTTCACGAGCATCCTCGCCGCGGCGACCGCGCGCCAGAGCATCTCAAGCCCAACAGTCCGCGTCGGCGGCCATCCTCCTCCCGGACCTTGCATGCAAGCCGGCGGCGGGTCGCGAGCGAACGACACAGTCGCGGACACTTCTCGAGTCCCAACCAAGGATTCTGTAAAGACCGAGGCGCCGCCGGATGCGGCGTCCGCCCCTCTCACGATTCTTGAGGCGTCCATCGGCCTCCGCGCCCCGAGCGGCCCGCCAACGACCAAGCCGACGGACGGCGGGCGAGCGGCAGCGCCCCAGCACCTCCTCTTCCTCCAGAGCGACCGGGCCGTCGATGCGCGCCTGACGGCCGCGCTGGGGGAGTTTGCGTGTCCTGCACCGCTCCGCTCCACCAGGATCTCCGACTCGAACGCGGTCGAGTCCGATCGCTTCTCCGTCTCAAGCGGGTGCGCCGACTGGCAGCGCGCCTGCGCCTTCCTTGCCTGCGCCAACTCCTCGCTGCTCGAGGTCGGGGAGGGCGAGCTGGAGCGGGCGGAGCAGGCGCTTGGCGACCCGCACTGCACTCCCCACGCCGCTGCATCGGCTGCCACACCGTCACCCCTCTGGCTATGCCCACCCGCAGCCGCTGCCCGGTCTGCCTGCCCTGTCTGCCCTGCATCAACACTCGCTCCTTTGGCCCCTCCAGGTGCGCACCCGCCACCCCGCCACGGCGGAACGGCGATTTTCGCTCGAGTCCGAGGAGCCACCAGGCTGCTGGGCCGCTTCTGGCAAGGCCCAGGCGTCGCTGCCCATCGCGGCCCGGTTGTCCGAGACTGAGGCGGTGCCGATGCATCTGCCGGTTCCGCCAAAGACCGAGGTGGCGGAGGATCAGCGCAGCGAGGCGTCGCTGGAGGAGCTCTTCTCCATTTCAAGTGACTTCGCCGGCTCGCGGCCACGCTGCGCCTCCTGCATTTGTGCCGACTCCTTCACGCTCGAGGTCGAGCAGGGCGAGGAGGAGGGGGCGGACCAGGCGATCCGAGCACCGCATCGCCAGCCCGTCTCCCCCCTGCCCCTGCCTGCCGCACGGCCTCCCCTGCGTGCCCTGCCAAGCCACTCGCTTCTATCACTCCTCGCGCCTCTTCGCAGCGTGCCTGGCGGACTGTCGCCCGCGCCTGCCTTTCCACAGGCCGACATCTTCACCGCCGAGATGGACACGGCCGGCAGCTCTCCCTGGCCCCTCCTCGTGGGTGCCCTCATGGGGTGCTTGGGCTTCTCTGTCATGGCGCTGAAGTGGAGAGGCTCCTCGGCCAGCAAGACCGGCCCCGACAAGGACGACGGCCAGAAGCGCTCGAGGCGCGCCAACGAGAACGAGGGCATGGCACTGACTGGCAGCACCGCTGGTGTTTGCCGCACTCCGATCTTCTTCTTCTTCTTCTTCTTCTTCTTCTTTGTCGCAATGGTCGGCATGTGCGGCGTGACCTACGAGGCCTCGACCGCTAGGTATACTCGGGTGCGTGGCGCCATGTCGGGTCTCCTTCCCGTCAACAGCATCGTGCCCGAGTCGTGTCCCGCCGACGCTGCTGGGAAGGCCCAGAGACTGGTCGAGACGGGCCTATTCGGCGCGGTAGCCTTGCGGCTCGGCGGAATCGCCTCGCTCGAGCCATCCGCCGCACAAGTCCGCGTGGCCGCCGCCGCGTTGCTCGTCGGTAGAGTGGGCGCGTCTCCGTCTTCTTGCGACACGGCGCTGGACCTATCCACTCAAACCTCTCCGCTGTCATCAAGCACCGTCGGCGCTCTGAACACGTATCGCACATCCTGCGGCGGCTCCGGCAACGAGAAGATCTTCTACGTCGAGGTGCGGGCAGGAGGTGAGCTCACCATCGGAATGACGTCCACCACGTACGACTCGAGGCACGAGACGCGATGGGGCGGGAGCTGCCCAGGCGACCATTCCGTCGCATGCACCGACGACCCAGACACCTTGCAGCACTCGTGGATCAACACTCAGGGCTCGACTCAGACGGCGTACTTCATCGTGGACGCATACTCGTCCGGCAGCGGCGACTTTGTACTCGAGTGGAATGTCACGCCTTTCCCGCCGCTTCCGCCGATTCCGTCGCTTCCGCCGCTTCCGCCGCCTCTGTCCCCGCCCCCGCCCCCGCCGCCTCTGTCCCCGCCTCTGTCCCCGCCTCTCTCTCCGCCGCCACCGCCTTCGCCGCCGCCGCCGTTGCCACCTTTCCTGCCACCGCCGCCCTCGCCGCCGCCGCCCTCTCCGCCGCCGCCGTCACCACCGCCGCCTCCGTCGCCGCCGTTCCCGCCTCTGTCCCCGCCTCTGTCCCCGCCTCTGTCTCCGCCACCGCCGCTTTCGCCGCCGCCGCCGCCATCGCCGCCGTCCCTGCCGCCGCCGCCCTCTCCGCCGCCGCCCTCTCCGTCTCCGTCGCCTTCGTTGCCTCCGCCCTCTCCGGCGCACCCGCCCAAACCTCCGCCGCCGCCGCCCTCTCCGCTGTCGCCACCCATCCTGCCGCCTCAGCCGCCCTCTCCGCCGCCTCTTCTACCCGACATGGTAAGCTGCGATTTCGAGGTCGACACTTGCGCCTGGATCGACACCGCGCCGGACGGGTTCTCTTGGACCCGCATGAGCGGCGGCACTCCATCAGGAGGCACAGGCCCGAGCGGCGGCCACACCACCGGCTCGGGCTACTACCTCTACACCGAGGCGTCTTATGGCGGCAACGATAAGCTGCACCAGCTCGAGAGCCCGCTGTTCTCGCTCCAGCAGGCCGGCACCCTCTCCTTCTTCTACCACATGTACGACAGTACTGGCTCCACCATGGGCACCCTCTCCATCGAGGCCAACGGCACCGAGACGGGATGGTCGACGCTCTGGAGCAGGACCGGCGACCAGGGCAATAGCTGGCTCGAAGCGGCGGTGATACTACCCGCCTCGACGACGAAGGTGCGCTTCAACGGTGAGACGGGGTCGGGCTTCAGGTCGGACATGGCGCTGGACGACGTCTCCTTCTCGCAGTTAACGCCTCCGTCGCCGCCACCGTCGCCGCCGTCCTTGCCGCCTCCGCCCTCTACGCCGCCGTCCGTCCCGCCTCCGCCCTCTGCGCCGCCGCTGACCCCGCCGCCACCGCCGCTGCCGCCTCTGTCGCCGCCCCCGCCTCTGCCGCCGCTCTCCCCGGACTTTGTCGCCGCGGCGAGCGAGGCCGAGCTCCGCTCCCTGATCACGGAGGCTGCTGATTCGCAAGCCGACGTCTCAATCTACCTGCCGCCCAGGGCAACCTTCAAGCTGGGCAGCCAGATCAGCTGCGCCTCCACCATCAAGGTGACCGTCACGAGCAGCGGCGAGGGCGCGACGCTCGACGGCCAGGAACAGACCGGGCTCTTTCTCCTCGAGGGCGGCTGCAGCCTCACCCTGCGAGGGCTGAACCTCGTCAACGGGAGGGCGGGTAACGGCGGCGTTGTGCACGCGAGCCACGCAGGCGACGTCGAGATCATCGATTCGACGATCACGGACTGCAGGGCTACTGGCTCGTACGGGGTGCGCCGCGTAGAGCTAGCCGCACTCCAGCAGCGCCGCACGGCAGCGAGGCGAGAGATAGAGAGGACCACGGCTGCCTCACCCCGCTCCCTCCTCGCAACCGCAGCGCGGCGGAGTCGTCTACGCGTCTTCCAGCGGTGCGGTCTCGATAAGCGGCTCGAAAGTGACTGACTGCTCTGCTGGCTATGTGCGCCGCGTAGAGCTAGCCGCACTCCTGCAGCGCCGTACGGCAGCGGGGCGAGAGATAGCGAGGGCCACGGCTGCCTAACCCCGCTCTCTCCTCGCAACCGCAGGAGGGCGGCGTCGTCTACGCGGATAACAGCGGTGCGGTCTCGATAATCGGCTCGGATGTGAGGGACTGCAGGGCTAGCGGGGTGCGCCGCGTAGAGCTAGCCGCTTCCCTGCAGCGCCGCACGGCAGCAGGGCGAGGGATAGAGAGGGCCACGGCTGCCTCACCCCGCTCTCTCCTCGCAACCACAGTACGACGCGTACGGCGGCGTCGTCTACGCGGATAACAGCGGTGCGGTCTCGATAATCGGCTCGAACGTGAGCGACTGCTCTGCTGATGTGCGCCACGTAGAGCTAGCTGTCCGCCCTACAGCGCCGCACGACAGCGGGGCGAGAAGTGTAGAGGGCCACGACTGCCTCACCCCGCTCTCTCCTCGCAACCGCAGGAGGGCGGCGTCGTCAGGGCGACTTACAGCGGTGCGGTCTCGATAATCGGCTCGAAGGTGACGAGCTGCTATGCCGAGGTGCGCCGCGTAGAGCTAGCCGCACTCCCTGCAGTGCCGCACAGCAGCGGGGCGAGAGATAGAGGGCCACGGCTGCCTCACCCCGCTCTCTCCTCGCAACCGCAGCACGGCGGCGTCGTCTACGCGCACGACAGCGGTGCGGTCTCGATAATCGGCTCGGCCGTGTCGGGCTGCTCTGCTGGCTATGTGCGCCACGTAGAGCTAGCCGCACTCCTGCAGTGCCGCACAGCAGCGGGGCGAGAGATGGAGAGGGCCACGGCTGGCCTCACCCCGCTCTCTCCTCGCAACCGTAGTACGGCGGTGTCGTCTCGGGTGGCAGCGGTGCGGTCTCGATAATCGAGTCGAACGTGTCGGGCTGCTATGCTGGCAGGGTGCGCCGCGTAGAGCTAGCCGCACTCCAGCAGCGCCGCAAGGCAGCGGGGAGAGAGATAGAGAGGGCCATGGCTGCCTCACCCCGCTCTCTCCTTGCAACCGCAGGACGGCGGCGTCTTTTCGGGTGGCGGCAATGCGGCCTCGATCATTGGCTCGAACGTGACCGGCTGCTATGCTGGCAGGGTGCGCCGCGTAGAGCTAGCCGCACTCCAGCAGCGCCGCAAGGCAGCGGGGCGAGAGATGGCTGCCTCACCCCGCTCTCTCCTTGCAACCGCAGGACGGCGGCGTCGTCTCCGCGGGTGGCAGCAGTGCGGTCTCGATCATCGAGTCGACCGTGTCGGGCTGCTCTGCTGGCAATGTGCGCCGCGTAGAGCTAGCCGCACTCCAGCAGCGCTGCAAGGCAGCGGGAGAGGTAGAGAGGGCCATGGCTGCCTCACCCCGCTCTCTCCTCGCAACCGCAGGACGGCGGCGTTGTGTACGCGAGGAACGACGTTGAGCTCATCGATTCGGATGTGAGGGATTGCTCTGCTAATGTGCGCCGCGGAGAGCTACTCGTAGCCGCCTCCAGCAGCGCCGCACGGCAGCGGGGCGAGAGATAGAGAGGGCCACGGCTGCCTCACACCCCGCTCCCTCCTCGCAACCGCAGCACGGCGGCGTCGTCGCCGCGGTTGAAAGCGGTGCGGTCTCGATAACCGGCTCGACTGTGAGCGACTGCTCTGCTGGCTATGTGCGCCGTGTAGAGCTAGCCACACTCCTGCAGCGCCACATGGCAGCCGGGCGAGAGATAGAGAGGGCCACGGTTGCCTCACCCCGCTCTCTCCTCGCAACCGCAGGACGGCGGCGTCGTCTGGGCGTCTTCCAGCGGTGCGGTCTCGATAATCGGCTCGACCGTGAGCGACTGCTCTGCTGGCTATGTGCGCCGTGTAGCGCTAGCCGCACTCCAGCAGCGCCGCACGGCAGGGGGGCGAGAGATCAGGAGGGCCACGGTTGCCTCACCCCGCTCTCTCCTCGCAACCGCAGGACGGCGGCGTCGTCTGGGCGTCTTCCAGCGGTGCGGTCTCGATAATCGGCTCGACCGTGAGCGACTGCTCTGCTGGCTATGTGCGCCGTGTAGCGCTAGCCGCACTCCAGCAGCGCCGCACGGCAGGGGGGCGAGAGATCAGGAGGGCCACGGTTGCCTCACCCCGCTCTCTCCTCGCAACCGCAGGACGGCGGCGTCGTCCACGCGTGGGGCAGCGATTCCCTCTCCTTCGCGGGTGTCGCCTGCATCGACAACAAAGCGAACGGATCAGGCTCGGTGCTGTACCTGCGAGTCCTCGACCAACGCTCCTCGATCAACGGCGCCTCCTTCACCGGCAACAACGGTATCACGATACAGAGCATCTACTCGCAGATAGACTGGGACTGCCGCGTGGGCAGCTGGATGCCGAGCCAGGGCGCTTTTGAGGGCGACTTCAGCGCCCCCGAGTGCTACCCTTGCTCCGCTGGCTACTTCGGGAACAGGAGCGGCCTCACCAACTCCTCCTGTGAAGGTGCGTGTCACAAAGGCTACTTTTGTCCCAAGGGCACGGCGGAACCGCTCCCGTGTGCGCCGGGTTTCTACATGCCCATGATGGGCGCAGCCAGTGCCGAGTCGTGCATCCCTTGCTCTCCGGGGAGGAGCCAGTCCACAGCCGGCGCAGTCCAACCCTGCGACCCGTGTCCTCCTGGCACGTTCGCCGATCAGCTCAACGCCACCGGCTGCACCGACTGCCCCGCGGGAAGCTTCTGCCCAAATGCAGGCACCGTGCAGCCCCTCGACTGCGCCGCAGGAGAGTACCAGAACCTCACTGGCCAGGCTGCGTGCGTGCAGTGCCCTGGTGGCGAGTTCCAGCCGGAGCGTGGCCAGACGTCGTGCGACTCGTGTGCCGCGGGTGGGTACTGCGATACCACCAAGGACTGCGGCGGCGGCTTCACGCCCTGCCTAGCGGGGAGCTACAACGAGAAGACGGGCAGCGGCTCACCCGACGCCTGTCAGCAGTGCCCCCCCGGAACCTCTAGCCCGACCCCCGGCGCAGTCAGCAGTGAGACGTGCGCGAGCTGCCGTGCTGGGACTTTCGGCGGCGAGCCCGGGCTGAGTGAGTGCAAGGACTGCCCTGCGGGCCGTTATCAGAACGACACGGGCGCGACGTCCTGCCGTGACTGCGAGAAGGGACGCTACTGCGCCAAGGGCGCGTCGGCGCCGCTGCCTTGTGACTCGGGTACCTACTCGGACAAGACGGATCTCACCGATGCGAGCGAGTGCACCGACGCCTCGCCGGGCCACTTCGCCACCACGGGCTCCACCGAGCAGACGCCGTGCGCCAAGGGCAGCTACGCTGCCACGGGCGGCCTTTCGGAGTGCCAATCTTGCGCGGGCGGGACCTATCAGAACGACACGGGCGCGACGGGCTGCCTCGCGTGCGAGAAGGGCAGCTACTGCGAGCCGGGCGCGTTGAGGCCGCTGCCGTGCGAGGGCGGATCCTACTCGGACAGGACGGACCTGTCGGCCGCCTCGCAGTGCATGCCCGCCGATCCGGGCCACATCGCCGCCCGCGGCTCCACCGAGCAGACGGCGTGTGGGGAGGGCAGCTTCGCCAGCGGCACGCGCAACGAGGTCTGCGAGCTGTGCGTCGAGGGCTCCTACCAGGGCGCGACCGCCGCGAGCGAGTGCACCGACGCCGATCCGGGGCACTTCGCCACCACGGGCGCCACGCAGCAGACGCCGTGCGCTCCAGGCAGCATCGCCCCCTCGGCCAACATGCCTGCTTGCGTGCTGTGCCCGAAAGGCAAGTTTGCTGCCTCCCGCACCGCTTGCGAGGAGTGCGAAGCGGGCACCTACGCGGCGAGCGAGGGACTCTTGCAGTGCACTCTCTGCCCCTATCCCCTCGGTAGCGGCAGCGGCGACGTCACTTGCTCCATCTGCAAGGAGGGCTTCTACCTGCGGGACGCGAGCGCCGACCCGGACGACATCTTTGAGAACCCGACCAAGCATTGCAAGGCGTGCCCGCCCAACGCCAACTGCAACGCCGGCACCGCCCTCCAGACCCTCGGCGTGGACGTCGGCTACTGGCGCGCCTCCGACGCCACCTCGGAGCTCCACCGCTGTGACTCAGAGACGTGCTCTGGTGGCTCCGGCCAGCCCTCCCGCCGCCGCCGCCTCGCCGACGGAGATGACGACCCCTACTGCATCGCGGGCCACACCGGCCCGCTCTGCGAGGTCTGCGTCGCGGACTCGGACTACTTTAGCTCTTCCGAGGGGCGTTGCGTCGCCTGCCCCTCGACGGCTCGCTCCGCCGGCGTCTTTGTCGGCTTTGTCATCCTCATCGCTGTGCTCGCCGCCGCCTATGCTGGGCTCCGTCGCCTCCCCTTCTCCCGCCGCCTCCGGAGGCGGGCCGCCCGCATCGAGTCCGCGGTCGGCCTGCAGCCCAAGTTCAAGGTCGTCGTCAGCTTCTACCAGGTGAGCAGCACCCTCGGCCTCGTCTACGGCGTCCGCCTCGACGAGCACTTTACGCGCTGGCTCGACGTGCTCAAGCTGTTCAGCCTGGACTTGTTTGGCGTCGCCATCCCCGGCCGCTGCATCGGAGCCATGAGCACGCGGCTGCTCGTCGCGGGCACCTGGCCGTACGCCGCCGTCGCCTTGGTGTCGCTCGCCATTGTGGCGGTGGCGGCGGTCCTCAACGTCAAGCAAAAGCAGGCATTCGACGGCAAATTCTTTGGCCGCGTACTCTACTCGGCGATCTTCATCTTCTACCTCGTGCTTCCCTCCGTCTCGCGCTCCATCTTCAGCGCGAGGCTGTGCGAGTCCTTTGGCTACGACGACGCGACAGGCCAGCGCATCAGCTTTCTGCTCGCCGACCCGTCGCTCACGTGCGACGACGGCCCGACGTGGGACGACGAGACGAGCGGGCTCGCGCCGTACTTTTGGGTCTTCGTCGCCCTCTGGCCCGTCCTCGTGCCGCTCGGCTTCTTGGCGCTGCTGCTCCGCGTCCGCAAGCCCGTCGCTGCGCAGCGCGCATCGCCGCTCTCTCGTGCGACGAGCTTCCTCTGGCGGGACTACTCTGCCCGCTTCCTCTTCTGGGAGGTGCTCGACCTGTTTCGCAAGATCTTCCTCACCTCAATGGTGCTCTTCATCGACCAGAATTACGGCTCCCGCAAGCTACAACGCACCGTGGTCGCCGCCATCGTCTCGGCCATGTTTCTCACCCTGCTCGCCCTCGCCCGCCCCTACCGGCGCTCCGACGACCTCTGCCTGGCGTGCATCTCCAACTTGCTACTCACCTGCTGCTTCGCGTCGGGGGTGGTCATCCAAGTCCGCGCCCCTGTTGGCACTTCCTCGCCGTCCCTCTCTCCCACGTCCGCGCAACCTCACACCATCCGTTCCCCGCCGCCGCAGCTGTGCGACAGCACCGTGTACGAAGACATGTGCTACAAGCTCGTTGGCTACCAGACCTCGCGCAGCGCCACCACCTTTGTCGTCGTCCTCACCGCGGTCATGCTCGCCGTCTCGCTAATCGTCATCATTGTGTCGGCGGTCAGCGCCACGAGGGCGAAGACCATGCGGCTCGTCTCGTCGAAGCGGGAGCCGATGCGCGACGGCATCACCCTCGCCGACGGCCAGGAGTGGCACCTCTTCCTCAGCCACGTCTGGAGCACGGGGCAGGTTTCACCACCCCCTTGTTCCCACCGCCTTTACCACACATGCAGGCCGTCTCCACACACAAAAACTGGTGGGGCAAGGAGAAGACCTACCCTTCCTCCCTTGTAGGACGCCGTCGCCGTCATCAAGAATGAGCTCCAGCAGTTCCTGCCCGGCTGCGAGATCTTTCTCGATATCGACGACCTCAAAAACATCGGAGATCTGGAGGCGTACATTCGTCGCTCGCAGGTGGTGCTCTGCTTCCTGTCGCGTGGCTACCTGCGCTCGACGAATTGCCTGCGAGAGATCCGCGCCGCGCTGGAGATGGGCAAGCCGCTCGTGCTCGTCCACGAGGCAGACCCGGACAAGGGCGGAGGCACGCTTGCCAAGCTGCGATCCGAGTGCCCTGAGGAGCTGCAGGCCGCCATCTTTGAGGCCGGCTGGCCGATGGTGGTGTGGCATCGGATCGCGGCCTTCCAGCACGTCTCGCTCAAGGTCATCGCCGAGGCGCTGCTGCTGAAGATGCCAAAGTACGCGGGCGAGGACGAGCTGCCCCTGTGCATCCCTGGCGAGCTCCGAGCCGGAGACCTCGCCTTCCCCAAGCCGGTGGTTCTCTGGGCCTCGAGTTTGAACGCCGGGGCGCGAGACCTCGCCGATGCGGTCGTGACGGCTGTGGCTGACGGCATCTCGATCACCGACGAAACGCCCTCGCGCCTCTCCTCGCTTCCTCGCTCGAGCGACAGCGGCGGTGACGGCGACGAGGCGACCCACATGCTGCTCTACCTAAACAAGGCGACGTGGGCCGGCGGTGGCGCCGAGGCGCTCGCAGAGCAGGTGCGCGCCGCGCGCCGTGCCAAGCTTCCGATCGTGATGGCGCACGAGAACGACGCCGTCCGCAACGGCTGCATCTTTGGCCACTTTTTCGAGGTGACGCCGCGCGACCTGATCGCCGACGGGCTGTACCACGACCTCGCCGTCGGCTGCCACTCGGGCCCACACCGGCAGGTGTCGCTCGCCCTGCTCGCAAACGCGCTCGGCGCGACCAAGCAGACGGCTCAGTCGCGCATGCACCGAGTCACCGCCCTCGCTTTAACGCTCCGCGGCTCCTCTTCAATGACGGAGACGTCGAATGGCGACGACATTGTGGAAGCGTCAGCGACGCCGACCGTCTGAGCGGAGAGCTCCTTTCGCTGCAAAGCACACCGCACGCGCACACGGGCACAGAGAGTCTCGGCTCGCTTGCGACTTCCGTCCCTCCCACCCATACAGTGTACGTAGAGCCGTAGGGCCCATACACCGCCTCGTGACGTTGTGAGGTGTCTAGTGTTCACGTACTGTAGCAGGGCGCCCAGAGTTGGCCCGCGCAAACAGACGAATGCAATCTTCACCCCTCACTCTTCACACACCGGCCCCGTGCTCCTCGTCCTCCCCGCGCCAGCCAACGGCGGTGCCACCAAAAGTACTGCGCCGGCGCGGCCCGGACGGCGCGAGTGAGCGCGTCGGCGTACGCGCCAACCAACCGCCGGGTCAGGCGGTCCTCCGCGCCCCCGCCGCCGCCCTGGCCCTCGTCGGACGCAACTGCCGCCTCCGCCTCTCCCATGTCGTCTTGCCCGTCGGCGGGGAGGGCTCGCGGAGATCGCATCTCGCTCGGAGGTTGCATCTCCTGATCGCCTCGCGGCGAGCCGCTCCTACGTCATGTGGACAGACCGCAGTCAGGGCGGGACTACGCCATGAACACGCCGCGGTCGTGGCGGGACTACGCCGTGAAGACGCCGAGGTAAGGGCGGGACTACGCCATGAACACGCCGCGGTCGTGGCGGGACTACGCCGTGAAGACGCCGAGGTAAGGGCGGGACTACGCCATGAAGACGCCGAGGGACTGGGAGCACCGCGTGAGCACACGAGGGCTGCGAGCACAGTGAACCCCGCGGAGTACGGCCGAATGCAGCTGAACACGTGTCCTCTCGAGCGCTAGTTGGAACTCGCCAGCGCATATTCTGCTTCTAGGGCTCCGCTCTAATACGAGTCGCAGCACGAAGCCCGCAGCCTCGCCGCCGCCGTCCGCCTCGCCGCCGCCGCCCGCAGCCTCGCCGCCGCCGTCCGCCTCGCCGCCGCCTCCCGCCGCCCCTCCACTGCCCTCGGCCTCGCCTTGATCGACGGCGGGCGGGGGCCCGCGCGGCGCTCTCCCTCGCTCGGCATCTCTCGGCTACCCCCCGCCCGCGAAGAAGAGCCGCCCGCCGACCGGCCGCGCGCGCTCGTCGTACTCGGCGCCGGACGCGTCCACGCCTAATTAATTAAGTCGTTAATTAACTAAGTCGTACTCGGCGCCGGACGCGTCCACGCCGACGTACGAGTACGAGCCGCGGCAGAAGGGGTTGCGCCCCCAGTCCGTCACGACCGACTTGCGGAAGAGCTGCCGCACCACTGTGTGCTCTAAGTGGCTGAAAAGTTAATCAATTGTTTTTTGAGCCCCTACGCCCTCGGGACGCGCACCGCGCTACTGTCCCCGGGCCAGGGGTGTAAGGGAACACACTAGGGCACACCAGGGCCGGTCTAGCCGGCCCTATCCCGGCCACGGCCTTCAAAAACGCACAAAACACGCACCGCCGGAGCCGCGGCGAATCGCCGCTGGAGGCCGCGTGTCGCGTCACCGACGGCCGCACGTCGAACCCCCGGCTCCGCGCCGCTGCTCCACCGCGCCGGCCATCCAGCGCGCACCCCCCAAGCTGCTGGTGCTCTCTTAAAAGGCCACAAAGCCTCGAAAGGAGCCGTCGACCGTCACCTAACAGAGGGGTGTCGGCCCCGGGCTCGCCGCTCTTGCGAGCGGTCGGCGGCGTCTAGGGCGGAGCCAGCGGTAGTAGCGGTGGTGCCGGCGTGTGCCGTGACGGAGGGGGTGGCGGCGGGGCGCGGACGGCGGGGTGCGGCGGCCGAGGCTCGAGCGGGGGGGGGGCGGCAGCGGTGGCACCATCGTCGGCGGAAGTTCGACCTGGCGGGTGAGAGGTGGAGGCGCCGAGGGCGGAACCGCTGCGGAAGCGGCGAGGTTGGAGGCGCAGAGGCCGAGGCGGCACGGGCGGCGGCGCCGACGGCACTGCTGCGCCGGTGCAGCGCCGGGGAGGGCGGCTGAGGTGGCGCGGACGGCGGTGGCGAGAATGCCCCTAACAGGCTGTTGCCCATGACATATAAGCTGTTGCCCATGACAGGCTGTTGCCCCTAACAGGCTGTTGCCCATGACATATAAGCTGTTGCCCATGACAGGCTGTTGCCCCTGACAGGCTGTTGCCCAACACACAAGCTGTTGCCCATGACAGGCTGTTGCCCCTGACAGGCTGTTGCCCATGACATATAAGCTGTTGCCCCTGACAGGCTGTTGCCCCTAACAGGCTGTTGCCCATGACATATAAGCTGTTGCCCCTGACAGGCTGCTGCCCCTGACAGGCTGTTGCCCATGACATATAAGCTGTTGCCCCTGACAGGCTGTTGCCCCTGACAGGCTGTTGCCCATGACAAAAGCTGTTGTCCTTGACGGCTACTGCCCATGACACGCTCGCGTAATACGCTGTTGCCCAGCGCTCGCATCATGCGCTCAGCATGCCCTCCGCATGCAAGCCGCCTGACTGTGAGCTCTTCATTCTCAGCCAGCTCTCTCAGCCACCTCGGCTCAGCTGTTGAGCGGCGGCGGGTTGCGGGGCTGGGAGAGAGCCAAGGTGCACGACTGTCTGATCGTGGCCCGCCTGATGGGAGGCCAGGCCAGAAAGGCTTGTCCCTTTTGTACGCCGCGTCAGTATAAGCGTTGCCTGCACTGACTGCACTAACTGCATCTGGCGTTACGGCGGCCACAGACCATCTGGCAATGTGCGGAAAGCGGCGGCGGTATTGCGGCGGAACTTGTGGGACTGCAGCGGCACCGTCGGCTCGAAGAGCCTCGCCAGTGTCCCACTGGCGTAGCATCGCGACGATACCACCACACAACACCGCAGACGAGAACAGGACTCGGGCGCCTAGAAGCGCGAGGGTCCGACAAACGCTCGTTCGGCGCGCGCGCGCGGAACGTAATAGTTAGGTGACGATTGAGTCACAGTTCCCCCCTCACGGTGGGTTGGGTTTGTCGGTTCCTCTCCTCGCGTTGTCGGATAACCTACATAGCCGCTGCGCGGCTATCTCCGAATATCTACAGCCACTTCGCGCGGTCGCAGCGCTGTTTGTCGCCCGATGGAAACGCCGCATATCCCTCTGGCGGGCCAAAGATCGACTCGCATGTCGATTTCGACTTGACGGGCGCATGGAGGCATCACGTCTCCATGCCGCCGACAAGTTGGAGCCCGTCTGCGGCGACCACAGCGCTCACAACCCCTGGTCAACTCACCCTCCACACAAAGTATAACAATAATAACAAAAGAACGTAAGAAGCCCACCGCTCGCGAAAGGAAAAGAGTCGAGTCACGACTGCGACTGGACGGGACCATCAGTGTACGCAGAGGACATGCTTGGCGTGCGCGTGGCGCGCGGCTTTCTAGGGGGGGCCGCAGCGGCGGCGGCGCGCGCCGCGCCGCTTAGCGGCGCTGGAAGCAGTTGGCGACCTCCGCCTTGCTGAACTTCCCGAACACGCTCGCCGAGAGCCACGCGCACGTCTGATGATGGATAAGAAACACTGAATGCGCGAATCAAGTACTCTCCGTGTACTTCCGTCGCGCATACCTCGGCCAAGTACGGGAGGTCGAAGTGGTGCGCGATCGACGCAAAAGTGTCGAAGGTGGCGCGCAGCTCGTCGGGCGGCTTGCGCAGCGTGAAGCGGCCGGCGCAGGTGGGGCAGCGCTCCTAGGGTCAGGGTTAGGGTCGGGGTCAGGGTCAGGGTTAGGGTTGAGGTCAGTGTGGGGGTTAGGGGTAGGGGTAGGGGTAGGGTTGGGGTTAGAGCTTCGGTTAGGGCTCGGGGTGGGGTTGGGGTTCGGGGCGAGGCGCCTCGAGCTCGGAGCGCTGGACGGTGCGGCACTTGCGGCACTCGCGGTCCTGCGCCAGGAAGGCCATCGCCCGCTGCTGCACCACCTGCACCAGCCGCGCCTCGACAACCTCCGGGTCGTGCGTCGAGCCGCAGACCGAGCACGCCCACTCGCGCGACGGCGTGGCGTCGCGGCAGAGGTCGAGGTCGCGCACGTCGTGGCAGTGCGAGCAGACGGCGTCGGGCAGCACGAAGGTCCGGCACGGGTTGACGAAGCGCGCCTGTTCACAGCAACAAGTGTGAAGAGACGCTGTTCACAGAAGGTCCGGCACGGGTTGACGAAGCGCGCCTGTTCACAGCAGCAAGTGTGAAGAGACGCTGTTCACAGAAGGTCCGGCACGGGTTGACGAAGCGCGCCTGTTCACAGCAGCAAGTGTGAAGAGACGCTGTTCACAGAAGGTCCGGCACGGGTTGACGAAGCGCGCCTGTTCACAGCAGCAGGTGTGAAGAGACGCTGTTCACAGAAGGTCCGGCACGGGTTGACGAAGCGCGCCTGTTCACAGCAGCAAGTGTGAAGAGACGCTGTTCACAGAAGGTCCGGCACGGGTTGACGAAGCGCGCCTGTTCACAGCAACAGGTGTGAAGAGACGCTGTTCACAGAAGGTCCGGCACGGGTTGACGAAGCGCGCCTGTTCACAGCAACAGGTGTGAAGAGACGCTGTTCACAGAAGGTCCGGCACGGGTTGACGAAGCGCGCCTGTTCACAGCAACAGGTGTGAAGAGACGCTGTTCACAGAAGGTCCGGCACGGGTTGACGAAGCGCGCCTGTTCACAGCAGCAAGTGTGAAGAGACGCTGTTCACAGAAGGTCCGGCACGGGTTGACGAAGCGCGCCTGTTCACAGCAACAGGTGTGAAGAGACGCTGTTCACAGAAGGTCCGGCACGGGTTGACGATGCGCGCCTGTTCACAGCAACAGGTGTGAAGAGACGCTGTTCACAGAAGGTCCGGCACGGGTTGACGAAGCGCGCCTCGGGTGCGAACTCCTGCACGGCGAGGAGCTGGAGCAGGTTACGCCGGAGCCGGACGACGCCGTCCTCGAGGAGCGGGTCGAGGCCGACGAGGTGGGTGACCATCTTTGTGAACTCGAGCGCCGGCGAGGACATCGGCAAGTGCGCGCCCGCCGCGAGCGGGAAGGAGGAGAGCTCCTCGTCGGTCGGCTCGCCCTCGCCCGGCCGGCGAACTTCGACCGCCCCTGCCGAGGACATCGTGGTGCGCACCTCGGCCACCTTCTCGATCGCGCTCATCGAGAAGGCGTCGTCGAAGAATGCGACCGCCTCACGCGACACCTACTCGCGCCGCCGTAGGCCTCCCTCCCCGCCCCGCCACCCTCGCCTCCTCCTCCACCGGGGAAAGCCGCGGCGTCGCTAGCGCACCCCCCTCGGCGAGAGAGGGGGGAGAGAGTGGGGAGAGAGGGGGGGGGCGCGCGCCTCCTCCAGCGACGGCGCGGTGCGGCCCGAGCCGTCCGCCGCCGCCTCCCTCGCAGCCTTTGCCCACGGAGTGCACACGATGTTTGCCACGATCTCCTCGAACTCGGCCTGGATGCGCGGCGGCAGAAAGGCCGCGATGTTCCACTCCGAGGCTGGCCGCGCCGTCGCCATGTCTCCGTTCGCCTGCGTGGGGGGAGCACGCCAGCCTCGGGGCGGGAGGACGGCCTTGTGCAGCGTATTCAGAGCGCCGCGTGAGTACGAGGGGTGCGAATACGGCGCGAAGACGGCGCGAAGACGGCCGAGTGCGGCCAAAGACGTCTCCTCCCTCGAGAGCTGACTGAACACCCCAAGAGCAAGCGTCTTCCGGCTTCTAGGGCGGTTGGCCGCGATCTCGGCCGCGGCGAGCTCGTCGGCGGACGGAAGCTCCGCCTGAGGCGTGAGAGAGGAGAGACACGTCTGGACAGCGCTCCTCGGGGCGAGAGCTCCGCCGCCCGCTCCGCGGCGCGGGCGCCTCTTCCCCCTCGTCGGCCGGCTCCATGGCGGCGTCCTTGCGGACCCACTGTCCGCCGGCGCCGCGCTCGACCTCGACGTGCCCCTCCTCCTCCTCCTCCTCCCCTCCCCCCTCCGCCCCAGCCTCCGCGCCCGCCTCCCCGCCCGCCCCCTCCGCCCCCTCTCCCCCCTCTTCCCCCCCCGCCTCCGCCTCCTCTCCCTGCCTTCCGTCGGCGGCGCGCAGCGCCTCCTCGATCGCCCGCGCCTGCAGCTCGGCCTCGTCGTCGTCCTCCTCCTCCTCCTCGCCGGCCGCCGCCCCGCCCTCGCCCGACGGGTCCACCGCCCCCTCCCTCACGCCGCCACCCTCCTCTGCGGCCGCGCCGTCGCCCACGCCCTCGGCATCCTCCCCTTCCTCCGGTGCGACACTCGCGCCGGCCGCCTCCGCCTCCGCCTCCGCCTCCGCCTCCTCACCTCCCCCCGCCATCTCGTCGTAGCCATCCAGCTCTCCTGCCAGCCGCGCCTCGGCCGCCCCCTCCGCCGCCCCCTCCGCCGCCTCCTCCGCCGCCTCCTCCGCCTCCTCCTCCTCCTCCTCCGCCTCCTGCGCCTCCTCCGCGCCGTCGGGCAAGCCCGCGCCCGCCGCCGCGTCCCGCGCCTCCGCCGCGTCGTCGATCGCCTGCCGGAAGAGCTGCTCGCCCAGCTGCGAGGGCGAGAGGTGGCGGACGCCCGAGTAGTTCTTCGCGTCGAGAAAGAGCAGCGACGACCAGTACTGCGTCGGCTCGAGCCCGAGGAAGCGAAAGACGTCTCGCTCCGTGAGCGAGTGGAGGATCGACTCGGTGTACGCCTTGGCGGTGGCGAGCGACGGCACGTCTCCCCACCTCCCTCCCCACCTCTCTCCCCGCCTCTCTCCCCGCCTCTCCCCGCCTCTCCCCACCTCTCTCCCCACCTCTCCCCGCCTCTCCCCGCCTCTCCCCGCCTCTCCCCGCCTCTCCCCGCGTCTCGCCTTGGCGGTGGCGAGCGACGGCATGTCTCCCCACATCTCCCCACACCACCCCGCATCTCGCCTTGGCGGTGGCGAGCGACGGCTTGTCGGTCGCCAGGATCACGCGGTAGAAGGAGGCGTACACGACTGTGCCGCCGAGCGCGCGCAGCTCGGCGAGCAGCTGCAGCCAGACCTTCTTCATCATCGCGTGCAGCAGCCGGTGCAGCGCCGGCTCGTACAGCAGCGAAGAGGACGACGAGAGCCAGTGGTAGGCCCCGACGAGCAGCGCGTCCGCCTGGTTCACAGTGTTCAGCCAGCCGATTCATTAAGAGGCAGCGGTGGGCCCCGATCGAGCAGCGTCCGCCTGCTCGTCGTTGCGCTCGAGGACGTGCTTCACCCAGTCGCGCACGAGCTCGCGCACCAGGCGGAAGGAGGCGGCGGTCGCCTCGGGGTCGTCCGCCGCCTTTGGGGAGATCTGGGGAGATCTGGGGAGATCTGGGGAGATCTGGGGAGATCTGGGGAGATCTGGGGAGATACAGGGAGATCTTGGGGAGATCTGGGGGGACCTGGGGAGATCTGGGGAGATACAGGGGGCTGTGAGGAGATCTGGGGAGATCTGGGGAGATACAGGGGGCTGGAGGAGATCTGGGAGTC